AAACCCCCCCCCCCCCCCCAACCTTTCCCCGGACCAGATCTATAACAGATTTGGAACATTTTCTCTAATCTGGCCACACCTGCACAGTAGATGCCCATAGACTTCAATACATTTTCAAGAGATTACTCATTGATAAAAGTTGTCTTAAAGAAGAACTCAAGGTAAAAATTGTATTAACACTTACAGTTGGGCTATGCCCATTCTGCAAGGGTTAAGTGCTAGTTTTTTACCTTGGGTCAAAAATAACTAAATAATACTCACCTGATCATCCACGTCAGCTTGTTCTTAGACCAGTCCCTGGAATGTCTCTCCCCCTCTGCTGCAGCAGTCTAAAGTCCTGTGAGTCATCACATTCTATACACTGTACAGGATGTGAAGGACATCCCTGGAGCGGAGGGAGACAGGCTGGCGGGAGCACTGTCACAGTCGTCGTAGCTCAACTTTAACTATTTTTTTAAACATTTTAAGGGGCAGCTCTGCTCAGACTGTTGTGCTGTATAAGAAGGAAGCTATGGTGGGCCAAATGCCCATTTGTACCTTGTGATAATATCTGAGAATAGAAATGGGTGTGTTTCAGTGCCTTATATATGGAGAACAGTGAAGTTCATCTTGAATGAGCTTTGGGAGGCACAGACACAGAATGAACAGGCTACATGTTAGCTGATCCTATTCTTTGTTGATCTTGGCTCTAGGCAAAAAGGAGCAGTTAACCTTTTTACCTGGAGTTCTTCTTTAAGCTAATCACATGTGCATATACACTCATGGCCAAAAAATGTTGGTACCCATGCATTTCTGTCAGAAATTGCACCACTTTGTGCAGAAAATTGTTACAATTACAAATGTTTAGGCATTCTCATGTTTATTTCTTCTGAAGACTACCAAAGAACTCTGGGGTGCAATGTAGGGCCCAGTGTCAGAAAGTTGGTTCTCCGTCAGAGGTCATGGGTTTTACAGCAGGACAATGGCCCAAAGCACACATCCAAAATCACCCAGAAATGGTTTGACAAAGCTCTGGAAAGTACTGGACTGACCAGCAATGAGTCCAGATCTGAATCCCATAGAGCTCCTGTGGAGAGATCTCAAAACAGCAATTGGGAAAAGGAACCCTTCCAATCTGAGAGACTCGGAGCAGTTGGCAAAAGAAGAGTGCTCAAAAAAGTCCTGAAGAGAGGTGTAAGAAACTCATTGATGGTTACAGGAAGCGATTGCTTTCAGTTATTTTTTTCAAGGGCAGTGCTACCAAATATTAATTGAGGGTGCCAATAATTATGTCCAGTCCATTTTTGGAGTTTTGCGTGAAATGTGTCAGATTTTGGTTCTTTTTCTCCACTTTTTTGTGTCATACCAATACCAACAAAAGAAATAAACATGAGAATGCCGAAACATGTCATTGCATCAATTTTCTGCGCAAAGTGGTGCATTATCTGACAGAAATGCAGGAGTGCCAATATTTTTGGCAATGACTGTATACCTAAAAAACTAACACTACTATAGCCCCCCTCATCTTCCAGTAACAAGTTAATTGCACTGTTAGCAGACACTTCACACTATGTAAACCCTTCCTCAGACACAACGATGTAATAACAATCACAAAGCGCTCATGGTTTCAGCATTTTATTGGGTCACATTATTAGAAAAGCACGGCGCCATAAAATCTGACATGACTCGGTGTACAAACGAAATCCCCCCAAACAGTAAAATAAATAGCAGTAAGAATGACGTCAGACATTTACTGTACAGGTCGGTGATGGGCGGTATGATTGCATTCTTCTGTTAGAGATAAAAATCCATGGGATATATTCCATACGCTGATTCCTTTGTTTATCTTGCCAATGTCGACTCCAAAGGTTAAGATTCACGTTTTAAAAGTACAAAAGCTCCCATGATTGCCAAAACAGCGTACTGGAAACAGAAACAATAAAGGTCACAGATTTGTATTAAAAAAATGCATATCATAGCTGAACTCCAGACACGTAGAAAAGGCAGCTGTGAATTTATTAATATATCAAGCAATGTATTTTTCAAAGAAGAAAGCTGGGTGAATATGTCATTAACACTTGCAGTGGGGCTACCTTTCACTGCAAGGGTTAAGTGCATGTTTTTACCTGGAGGGTCAAAAATAACAAATGTATACTCACCTTATCCTCCGAGCTGGCTGGCTGTCACAGCACTCCCTCCTACTCCGCTGCAGCGATGGCATGTCGCTCGGCGTCCTCACATTCGATATGCACTTTATTGGACCTTAGACCGCTGCAGGAGGGGTAGAGAGTCTCCAAGTACCGGTCTAAGACCAAGCCCCCTCCAAGAATCAGGCGAGTATAACTTTGTAATTTTTGATCCTAGGCAAAACCAGCACTTAACCCTTGCAGTGCGGGGGTAGCCCCACAGCAAGTGTTGATAACATTTTTACACGGAGTTCTGCTTTAAATGCTAACAGCTGAATTGTACCTCTTGAAGCTACTGTACTGCAGAGGCCAGACTGGGGGAGTGTGATGGAAATGTAGCTCTCTGGGTTCCAGTTTGTATATTCATCTCTATTAGAATAGGGGGATTCGCCTTCCTTTCACCGTTCACAAGTCACATGAGTTGCTCTGATCTGTACTTGCATGGGGAACACTGAATAATTACAGCACAGATCTAGATTAAATTTGTTTGACCCCCGGCTATAGGTAGGACTATGAGTCAGCTTGTTTGGAAACATGTATAAAAGTAGTCCTCCCTTTTAACCTCTTCCTGACTGATGACAGGATTATCCCATCACCATCAGTTGGTTAACGACCGGTGGCGGGATAACCCTATCATGCGGTACAATGAGTGCTGTTTCATGAAGGGAGCAGCAGCTTATTGAGATACCGCTGTTCATGGGTCCCTCATGGTCTAAGGCAGACCCTCATGGTCTAAGGGTCCCTCAGATTAGGTGGTCACTGTCCTGTGATCACAGCCAGAGCTGATCGCTGTGATTGCAGAGCTGTGACAGTTACACATAATCACACCGCAGATCTAGATTACATTGGTTTGACCCTCGGCTATACATAGGACTATGAGTCAGCTTGTTTGGAAACATGCATAAAAGTAGTCCTCCCTTTTAACCTCTTCCTAACCAATGGCAGGATTATCCCGTCACCATCAATCAGTTTGTTAACAACCTGTGATGGGATAACCCTGTCATGTGGTACAATGACTACTGGTCCGTGAAGGGACCAGCAGCTTATTAAGTAACTGCTGTTGATGGGTCCCTCAGGGTCCGAGGTAGACCCCCAAAAGCAGATTAGGTGGGCACATTCAGAGCTGATCGCTGTAATTGCAGAGATGTGGCAGTCACACAGCCGGCAGCAGTTCACTGTGTTTTGTAAACTGCTAGCTGCTGTGTTGGCAAATTATACAAAGTATCTCTGAGCTGAAAACTGTATTCTACTCAGAGATACGAAGTATTAAAGCAAAAATAACCCCTTAGTGCCCCTAGCTTAAAAATAATAATATATATATATATATAGTTACATAGTTAGTCAGGTTGAAAAAAGACATGTCCATCGAGTTCAACCTAACAACCTATTTTTACATATAAAATGTACAAAAAAAAAAAAGAATTTATTATGAATTCATTTCTGTTAGCTATACTAATTATGTACACTTTATTGCCAAAACTGTGAAAAATTAGTTTTTTTCCAATTTTTGTGCATTATTTAGGAAAAATAAAAAAAAGAATTTCTATATGCAAATGCCACATCAACTTAGACCCCATTTTGTCCTTTAAAAAACGGTATATAATATGTGTAGGTGCAATGCATGAGGAAGATGGAAATTATGGTTAAACAAACACATAGCCAAAATGTCAAAATTGCTCCGGTCTCCAGAAGCAAAAAAATGTTCTGAAGCTGTGTCACTGAGGGGTTAATAAAGCAGAAATAATCTTATAACTGATATATGTGTGGTCTCTATTTCCATGTCTTATATAAACACATCCTCCTGGTATTTTGTCTAATCAGACTAATAACGGGTTCAATTTTCCATAAAAACCAGGAGAAGCAGCACAAGAAGCATGCCGATATGAGGAGAGAGCAAAGTGAGAGACTATCCCCTCCCCCCATTGTGCTGCTTCTATTTTTACTGCCCAATCACAGGCAGGGGCAGGGGCTGACTGGCAAATTTTAGCCCAGGGGGCAAGTACAACCCAGAGGCCCATGGTGCAGCAACTTGGCCCCCCTCCCGCTCTGCTTCTTCCCTGCTTCTGTCTGCCACTTTTGCCATACATGTAATGGTAGTGTTGATGGTCGGGTGATGTGAGGACTCCTAGTAAGTCCATGAAAGGGGTGATTGGCTGGGGGATGGTGCTCTCCTCCCAATGGGCTCCCTACATGGTTCTGGCCTTACTCCGCTCCATGTCCACTACTTAGGCACTCTCACCCAGTGCGTGAGCTGTGGGAGGTTAGTGGGAGGCGCCGGACAGTGTCAAAGTCAGTGTTCTATAATTTTTCTCGACTGTGTCACTTCCAGTGGGGCCGAGTGATCAAAATCAGCTGTTTTCATGACCTATCAGGCACTGTAGAGGGCCGCCCGCGGGGGCCTCCAGAGGTCAGCCTTGAGTAGCGAGCGGCCGCCGAGTACAGAGCCGCATCTGTAGCGGCTCTGTACTCTGTAAGCGGCTCTGTACTCTGCACTGGCGGCCGAAGACTTCTTTTAGCGGGGGGCCAGTGACGGCCGCGGGCAGGGGCCGTTTGTAAAGGCAGCAGAGAGGCCCGGGGGGCAATTGCCACCATGCCCCCCGGCCCAGTCCGCCCCTGGGCAGGGGGAGGGACAAGACACGTAAGAATAACTTAACTACAGCAGAGAAATATCAGGTCCCATCCCATTGCCAGGGCTATTCAGTGTGGCAGAGCAACGCCCCGTTGACACAGCGTATTCGCACGTATCAGTGCACATTTTTGCGAGCAGACTGTGATACATCGATATAAATGCGCAAACGTGTGCAAAAAGGCTCAAAAATAGTTGTGTCGCACGTTTCCAAGCATTTCCTATTGAGTCTATGGGGACAAATGTGCTGTAATCTGCCAAAAATAAGCTTGTGTATTTTTTCGAGCGCCAAGACGGTTTTCTACGTGTGACGCTACGCTTGGGTGTGAACGGGGCTTCAATGCTCACAGATACGCACGAAAAAATGCCTAGGTGTGAACGGGGCCATAATCTCAGGACTGAATGGACAGAAATACAAATATTTTTTCTGCAAAATTACCTACACGACACATGAGTATCCCCACCATGTAGCTCGCGCTCTGTTGCCCCTCCTGTGGACCCAGGACGGCCTTGGTGGGAGTCTTGATCAGCTTCATTGGGGTCCCTAGCTGACATTAGGGGGCTAATAAAGGACCATCATCAGCAATATACTATCACATAGAGGCCCATTTGGGCAATAGAGGTTGGGTAAAAGAGAGGTTTTAGGTCTGATGTAATATAAAAACTCCCAAAAAATGTGTTTTTGCTTACCTTAAATTTGGGATAATCATTCATCACTATAGTTACCATTCCGACATATGGCAGAAACCTGAAAAAAATATAAATAATAAAAATAACCCATCAGATTGTGTTTTTTAAAGACAGCAGTTAACATTTTCTTAATGTTGTATTTATATTTTTTTTCTTGAGAAGTGTCAAGTTGAACCCCTTCCAATACCCATCTGGACTGGTCTAAAACTGATAGGAGGAGAGAGCAGAGAGATAAGATCATCAGCCTGTTGCTTTGTCTTTCACTGTCCAGTCACAGGCTAGGGGAGGAAAAAGACCTGCAACTAAACTGCAGCAGGGAACATCGAGGTCCGCTTCTCTGCCAGACCGGGATGTGCCATGTGGCAGAGGTATATAACTCAATAATACAAATCCTTTGGCAGGTAAAACAGTATGTATGCATTTTATCTGTATTTAGCCCTTTCCCTGGAGTTCAGCATTATGTTCTTGTTATGGCTTTCACATTTTTTTCAAGTTTGTTCTATATTTGGGTCATTGGTAATAGAGATTTGCAGATTAGCCACTAGAGGGAGCCCTCATCATCTCAGTGACTATTGCTCCGCCTTTCTCAAAATCTGCTGGAATAAGATATCATTCACACGGGGTACATGGTTTTCAGTGGGTTGGCTGATTCACAGACTTGCATTGTGAGAAGGAGCATTAAAATACTTCTACCAGTGCAAAGTGGGATGCGGAACATTCATGCAATGCAATGAGCAAATATGACTGCCCCTATCTATGTAATTACTAACCATACATAGAAACAAGGGCTTAAAACATATACACAAACTGCCAAATGATCTTTGCACTGACAGGATCAAATCTTGCTCAAAAAGTAGGAACACGTACAACGTGTATTGATAAAAGAGGAATGCAATACTAGGATGTCGCTAATAAGGCTTACATACACTTGAAGTGGCAGGCATTACTAATAACCGCAAACTAACACTAGCATTGACATGGTGTTCTAGATTACTAATGTAATATGGAGGTATTAACCAAATGATTAGACAAACATCAATGCAACAAAATGGTAGATGAGTATTCAATAAGCAGAGCACAACAAATAACAGGTAATGCAACTATTGTAGTAACAGGGGCTGCCGAGAAGCAATTTCGCACTGATGACACTAGGGGGCAGCACAGTCCAGAATAACAGATGCCTATAGAGGCGATACTATGGGCCAACCTTTTTTGGCCATAGTTCTTCTTAGGATCACAAGAGGACATTTACTATGTCCTCCTGTGACCCAAAAATCAGCATATACTGGGCTATTGCCCGTTATAATCTGACAGCGCAGAACCTCGCTGCAGCCGGGACAGAACCAGACAAAAGTGTCGTGAATCACCCCACCACCTGATTGACAGCTGGTTCTGCCTCTCTAGAGCCAGAGCCAGCTGTGCCCACCCCACCACGGCACCCAGATTCAGAAAGACTAATCTATAGAACAAAGAACAAGGCAGAATAATTGAGTCACTGGTCAGGATGCTTCCAGTGGTGGAAGAAGGAGGACATTATTTAACAGCCAGCTAGCACAGTGCCCGGCTTAAGACGAGCGGAGTGCTCTTGTGTGCTCACTATGTCGCCCAGAAGAAGGGACCCTGCGCTGCCCCAAAACGTTGGCTGTATGACGCATGTGACGATTTAATAAAAAGTGCTTTACTTCTTGCACACCATCGAGTGCTGGTGACTTCTATTAGGGACTGTATCTGAAACAGCGCCATCTGTGTTGTCACTTCAAGCACCAACATTTCAACCAAGGTCTGTACACTGAATGGAGTGCAGGTGATTTCGTATTATCACTCTCACCCAGCGACCCACACACCGGGTATAAGGAAGGAGGGCCCAACACCTGGTGACCACTGAAGTGCCAAGCCATGGCTGTCCCATCAAACGTGGTCTTTGAGCTCAAGTAGAAGTGGAGGGCAGGTCTGGAAGTCCAGGGGATGATGTGAGGCCAGGGGATTGTAGGGAGCGGAGTTAAAGGAGCCAGCACCCACTACTGAGCAAGGTGGGTACAGGGGAACTCTGTTACACTAGGTTACCACCAAGTCAAAATGAGGCAGCTGGGTGGTGTGGTTTTCTTCTATATCCATGCCTGAATAACAAAAACACAGCGGTCCTAAAGCTAACCACACACCTTACAATCTGATGGTAGATCTAAAGGAGATTTTACAAACAACTATGTAGTACAAGGGGCCAGGCTGATTGGATAGTTTAGGTAGGTCCTCATATTACATAGTTTTGGTAAATCTAAAGTTGACACAAGATTGTATGGTCAGACTGTACCGTGCATGGTGACCCTAAGAAGGCAAACCGTGTTCTCAATATGCAATGTAAGACTTAAATTTGGAATTCAGACTGGAAAGAGGCCACTTTATTAAAGGTATACTTTAAGTTCAAATGTATTCTAGATGAGAAACCATAATGGCCTTTCATCAAGCCAGAGGGAACCGGCGTGCGATATCAAGGTAACGCCACTTAGCCAATTTCACACAGGACTTCCAGCTAGTAATTTTCGCGGAGGGGAGACGGCACCGCCAGTCTAATTGCATAGTTTTCTCTTTCTTTAGATCATATTGCTACTTAGCTTACAGCCTGGGGTGTTACATCGAAGCAGTTTCATAAGGTGCCAGTTAAAAAGCTCCCGTGCCTCCTCGCTGCCCTTTCCCGCTAAGGAATTCTCTCTGGAGCTTCTGCCGCCGCGCCAGCCGCGAAATTGTCCTTCCAAAACCCGAGCGCTGTTTGTTCAGGCGTGATTTATACAGTCATTCCAGTCCAAGGCTGCTTTTTCTTCATTGCCGTCTCCATCAAAGAAATGTGATTTGTAAAATCTTCCACTTCCCCATGGCCGCAGCAACAAATAACCGACGCGTCTTGTTTAACCCTGACTGGGTGCGTTGAGCTTTCGAGGGATTACAGCAATGATGTGAACTTTGCCAGATACTATTTGCGTATTACAGCAAACCCCGGCCAATATTGGAGATTCTCCAGTTAGGAGACAGGACAATGCTTTCTAGAACATAGAAATACAATAAAATAAAGAGATTTCCCTTCAAGGCTGGGTTCACACCATTTTCCAGACCAGATCTGGAACATAGTGCATTGCGTTTTTACCATGATTGGAAATGTCTTTAGCCTAAAATGGTCTTACAGGTGCGTTATTGATGCGTTCCAGACCGGACAAAATAGTGCTAAAGAAGGCTTAAAAAAACATACCCCCTACTGGGGCAACCCCTACACTGCAAGGGTTAAGTGCAAATTATTATCCATTTATCCTGCCCGTAATCTTGTGTGCTGATAAAATTATGGGTGCCTGTACCATTTCCTGTGTAATCAGTTACATTGCGCCCAGCTATCTATATGGACTACACAACCGCTCCCTCCCTACGTTACGCTGACAACATTCTGTGCACCGGTACAACCTCCTGTGTACTCAGTTACATTGTTCCCGATTCAACATAAAACAGAAGTCACCAACTTGTGCAGCTAGATAGATTGGTTATGGACTGTATATTAATAGTCTTAGAGGAGCTCCGGTTATACTGGTAGTCAATCCAGAGAAGATGTGTGCACTGATCCTGCAGCCTGGTTAGCTGGATAGGGAAACATCCAAGTAACAGCACTGTAAAGAAAACATAAAAACCCGGCGCACAGATCTAAGTGCAGTATAAAAGTAACCTTAATAAAAGGTAAATAGTAGGGATGCACCGATAACGGTTTTTCAATATTTTTTTCCAGTACTTGCCGATACATGAGTACCGGTCCAGTGTGCCCCGATTATCAGGAAGTCGGGCAGCAGATCATGACCTGTCGCCCGGCTTCCTGATTGCCTGGGACTTGCCGAGGCTGCCTGACCAATCAGGAAGACGGGCAGTGGGTCATGAGGTGCTGCTCAGCTTCCTAATTGGTAAGGAAGCCAGGCTGCCTAGCAGCAAGTGAAGCCAGCTTCCTAGCCAATCAGGAAGCCAGGCAGCACATCATGACCTGCTTCCTGATTGGCTAGGAAGCCGGCTTTACTTGGTGCTAGGAAGTCAGGCAGCACGTTATGACCCGCCTCCCGGCTTCCTGATTGGCTAGGAAGCCAGCTTCACTTGTTGCTAGGTAGCCTGGCTTCCTGACCAATCAGGAAGCCGGGCAGCATTTCATAACCCTGCAGTTCTGGTATCGGAGGTAAGTATCGGAGCATTTGGACGAGTACTCGGTATCAGCACCGATACTGATGACGATACTAGTATCGGTGCATACCTAGAAAAAAAGTAATGCACTTCAGGATATTTTAAAAATCTCGCCTGTCACACCTCATCACAATTTATGTTTTTTGTTACATTGTTCCCAGCTACCTCTATGGACTACAGAACAACTCCCTCCATGTTATGCTGATAACCTTCTGTGCAACCTCTTGTGTTATCAATTACAATGCGCCCAGCTATCTCTGTGGCCTGCAGAGCAACTCCTCCCTAAGTTATGCTGATAACTTCGGGCAACTTCCTGTGTTATCGATTACATTGTATCCATTTCGACTTTAGAACAACTACCATCTATGTTATACAGAAGAGAAGAGGGGAAGATGTTCTATAGTCTTAACACTTCCTGCAGCAACCTCACAGTACAGCAAGCGAGCGTTGTCACCCTAGGACAGGAAATGTGTAACTGGCAGGATCACCAGCATGAAAAAAAAAAACACAAAAAAACAAACTAATGCAACCACCACATTAAAAGGACTAGAACATTTTTGTTCTTGGATTCAGATACATTTTAACCGCCTCCCAGCGTCCTGGATGTAACAGGCTGTCAAAAGACGGCCTGTTGGCCCCACCCACTCGTGGCACGCTTGAACGGGAAACTGCCCAAATGTAAAAAACAGGCAGCGATGCCTGTTTACATACAAGCGATCCGCTGGCTTTGGAGGCGGCGGATCGCTTGTATAAGGTGCCAGTCGGTGTGCTCCCTCCGCAGGTCCCAAGCTTCGCTATGCCCGGTGCGAGCCCGGGACCAGCATGGTGGCTCTGCGACAGGGGATCAGAGGGACATCCTCA